CTTCCAATGATGGATTCCACAATCTCCCTTGGAATCTTGTTTCAGAGCTTAACTACCCTTGTAGTTACAAGTTTTCCCTAATGGCAAACCTAAAATCGCCCTTGCTGCAGATTAAGATTGAGTATGATCTTTCAACCGGCTGTGCTGCTGTAAGGTCTCGTGTGTAGCCGCTTTTTGCCAGCAGCAGAGAGCTCTCCTGCTGGCAAAATAAAACAAACCTCAACAAGTGGCAGCAGCTTTGTCGGCAGGAGAGCATCTCTCACAGACAAAGTGCTGTCCACCCCGGTGCTTTTCCTCGCTAAATCTTTGGTCAGTTAGGGGGTGTTTTTTCCCCACACACCTGAGCGACAAAAGTTTTACTGCCAAAAGTGCAATGTAGACACAGCCTCTTTAGGTATCTTTAACAAGGGGAACAATGTTTGCCCTTCACCAGTCCTCTGGGACCTCACCTGTCCTCCATGACTTCTCAACGATACTTGCTAATGGGGCTGAGGTTACCTCAGCTAGTTCCTACTGCAAAGTAAAACAGCCTTCTGCACACTAAAGGAGCGTTTGTCACTGTACACCACTGATCTCAGGCTCCCAAAGATGTCTGCACTCAGCCTGGCCTGCGGGGTAAGCACAGCTGGTGTGCCAGGTATGGTAGCCCAGGGCCCGGTCAAGGAGAGGGAGACCTGCAGAAATCCACTCCAGGAGATGGAAAGGCATGAGGCTGACAACTTGCTGTGAGGGGGCACTTAGAGATATTGGGAAGGAGACAGAGGTATAGCTAGCTCTGTCACTCAGTAGGACACCCACTCCCCTTCCTCCCACTGCCCTCAGCCCTCCCTGCTGCGTGGTACTGCAGTGCCACCAGCACCCCATCCACTTATCCCCTTCACTGCTCCCTGCTCTCCCTTCTCCTAAGAATAGGAACCTCACACTGTCTGCTATGAGTGGAATGGCCCAGCTGACTCTCACATTACAAACTATTTAAAAGTTGACTAATCTACCTGCTCTGAAATCCACGTGCGTGCTCGGACTGTTTTGACATTTGCTATGGGTATGCAGGGCATGGATAGTGGTTTAAATTTGGTGTTATTTGAGCAAGGAGTTCCTGAGATCCCGCCCAATCCCCCCCACCCCGACCCCAAAAAAGAACCTTTTTACAAAATCCCCTTATTCTTGTAACATTATGCACACACCTAGGCTGAAACTGTCCTTTTATTTGTCCCCTGACTGATCTCAGTCACTTGGCATTTATCTCAGCTAGTACATGGCCTCCACGCAGACTCTTAACCACAGAGAGCTTCTTGTCGTAAGAACATAAGAACGGCCATACTGGGTCAGACCAAAGGTCCATCTAGCCCAGTATCCTGTCTTCCGACAGTGGCCAATGCCAGGTGCCCCAGAGGGAATGAACAGAACAGGGAATCATCAACTGATCCATCTCATCGCCCATTCCCAGCTTCTGGCAAACAGAGGCTAGGGACATCATCTCTGGCCATCCTGGCTAATAGCCATTGATGGATCTATCCTCCATGAATTTATCTAGTTCTTTTTTAAACCTTGTTCTAGTCTTGGCCTTCACAACATCCTCTGGGAAAGAGTTCCACACTTTGACTATGCATTGTGTGAAAATATACTTCCTTTTGTTTGTTTTAAACCTGCTATTTATTAATTTCATTTGGTGGCCCCTACTTCTTGTGTTATGAGGAGTAAATAACACTTCCTTATTTACTTTCTCCACACCAGTCATGATTTTATAGACCTCTATCATATCCCCCCTTAATCGTCTCTTTTCCAAGCTGAAAAGTCCCAGTCTTATTAATCTCTCCTCATACGGAAGCTGTTCCATACCCCTAATCATTTTTGTTGCCCTTTTCTGAACCTTTTCCAATTCCAATATATATTTTTTGAGATGGGGCAACCAGATCTGCAGGCAGTATTCAAGATGTGGGCGTACCATGGATTTATATAGAGACAATATGATATTTTCGGTCTTATTAATTATCTATCCCTTTCTTAACGATTCCCAACATTGTTTGCTTTTTTGACTGCCGCTGCACACTGAGTGGATGTTCTCAGAGAATATCCACAATGACTCCCAGATCTCTTTCTTGAGTGGTAACAGCTAATTTAGACCCCATCATTTTATATGTATAGTTGGGATTATGTTTTCCAGCTATCACAGTATTTAGTTGCCTCTAGGGGACATGCTGTGGCCAGTACAGCAGTAACTGTTGTACAGGAGGTCTGATCACATGACCCAACTTCTGGTCTTTTAATTTATGAATCTATAATAGCTACGAGGAAGGACTAAAAGAACATGCCATTGTTTGTGTTGTGTTCCACAGACTGGAATACCAGCACTGATCTGCACGCACTGCAACTGCGTGCACTGTGTCAGCTGTAGCTGTAACTGGATGGTGGAGGAATTAGTTGGAGCAGCTTTGCAGAGCTGTGACTGTGATATGAAGAGAGGTGCATGTGAACCTTGAAGGACCAAGTTTGCCTCATGTCAGTGCTGTGTTGCAGGCTGTGTCAGCAAACGTGCACAAGGGTGTGTTCTTGCCATGAGGACTGTCAGCACTCTGGGGCGTACATGCCGGTTGTCTCCAGGGCTCAGTTAGGGGTACGTGAAGGCTATATCCTCAGGGGCGGGGGCTAAAGGGGTGGAAATATTTTGCAAGTTGGAGATGGTTTCAGTGGAGTGGGCTCAGGGTTTGAGTGTTGGCCAGAGGTGTAGGCAGTTTCTGTTCTTTATGCCAAACCTACACCCGAGTTTTGCCTTATCGTACAGATGTTAGACTTTGTGCTTTACAGCTCCTGAGCTCTGCTCCCAAAGTGTTCTCTAGCAGCAGAGGGTAGAGAGCTAGTGTGTGTGTCACTGGCATTTCAGGGTGTTGCTGAAACAGGGCAGAGTTAAGGTTGTATTATGGAGATGACGTCTCCCCTTCTAATAACCAAGGGACAGAAATCCTTACCCAGCGTGGTCACCTTCTCATAGTTCTCTTGCATGACATCCCAGTAGAGGTCTCTCTGAGCAGGGTCCAGCAGAGCCCACTCTTCCCTGGTGAAATACACAGCTACCTCCTCAAAGGTCACCAGCCCCTGGAAAAACAAGAGTCCCCCACTCAGCAACTGCTACCCCAGTCACAACCCACTAGTCATGGGGAAGTAGGGCCAATCAAATGGAAGCTCTGGGAGGCAGTCAGCAGAGTCCCACCGGCACCCCACTCAGGAACCATCAGGGTGAGGGGAGAAAGAATCCCTCATCCCTCACAGCAAACAGAGGGGAGCAGAATAGTCTCATGCCTGACACACCTACTAGCCAGAGGCCGATATAGGAGATGGAGCCCTCTGGCGGGAATCCAAATACCCTCCTCATTGCCAGCAGCTGGATGTAAGGGGATGGGGCATATGCCCTAAGCCCCACTGGTGGGTGCCCCCTTCATATCTCATAGGGGGCACTGGTTAGTAGGTTCCAGCTTCAGCACCGGCAGTCTGATAATTTCCCCAGCCCTGTCCAGGTGGGGGTTTCCTGTTCCATAAATAGGCCAATTTCCTCCTCAACCCCCATGGGTCTGTTCCTAGAATGTGAGCCTCAGGTTAAACAAGTCCCAGCAGGTTTGTCACAGCCTGTCCTCCTCCTTTTCTCCACCCTGTGGATTTCCTGCCCCTTCCCACCTCAAACTAAACTCCCCAGAAGCTCCCATCTCCTATATCAGGAGGTAGCCGTGTTAGTCTGTATCCACAAAAACAACAAGGAGTCCAGTGGCACCTTAAAGACTAACAGATTTATTTGGGCATAAGCTTTTGTGGGTAAAAAACCTCACTTCTTCAGATGCATCTGAAAAAGTGGGTTTTTTTACCCACGAAAGCTTATGCCCAAATAAATCTCAGAGGGGTCGCCGTGTTAGTCTGAATCTGTAAAAAGCAACAGAGGGTTCAGATGCATCTGAAGAAGTGAGGTTCTTACCCACGAACGCTTACGCTCCCAATACTTCTGTTAGTCTTAAAGGTGTCACAGGACCCTCTGTTCCAAATAAATCTGTTAGTCTTTAAGGTGCCACCGGACTCCTTGTTGTTCCCATCTCCTATGTGTTTACTGCCCCTCGCAGTCCAGAGGGAACTCATGAGCAACTCTCTCATAATCCCTACCTGAGCCAGCCCCACAGCAGCCGTTTCCCTTCCCCGTCCCCTGGGAGGCTGGGCCCATCTGGAGTGAAACGTGGATGTTGTTCTGCAGCCTGCCAGGGCGAGAAGGGGGATTGGAGAGATTTCAGAACCGGCTTTAGATAATTTCACAGCACATCCCCCAGGCTCTTTCCCTGCAGAGAAATGTTCTAGGCTCTCCTACGGGCAAAACACTCAGTCAGTTTATTGCAGCGCAGACCCGACCCTTCCCACCAGGGCTAACTCCACTGACACGCCTGTAACACCTGACTTGGTCCCCGAGGGCAGCACATCCCCCAGCAGGGTGGGATCTAGACAGAGGCAGCGACTGGACAAAATCAGTCCAGTGCTGAGACAGGAACTGGAGATGAGCAGGTCTGGGTGCTTGTGGCCTCTCTCCCCACTTACTTCTCCTGAGTTTCTCTCTCCCCTCCCTCTGGCGGGGCGACTTGGTTACTGTCTATTCATGGAGGCCTTCACTATCCTACAAGTGTGAAATTTTGGATCCAATCTTTGTGCTTCATGCTCATCTCTGCTAACCCCTGGTTGGGTTTCAGTCTCTCTGGCTGTGACACAGACACAGCAGGGAAAGGTCACTGGGCAGGCGCAAGCCGCTGGGATTCTAAAGTAAGGAAAAGATTTTTTAAATGGGGGTTTTATGGGAATTCATTGTCCTTTGACTCAGTCCATATTTTGTATAGCAGCGAACTGCTCATTCACAGTAGGTCCACATACACAGTAATACCCTCTTCCCATTCACAGCCAATAGGGATATAAGAGAATGAATGATCTAGTCTGTTGTTTCTCAAGCACTGGTTCACAACCCCAGGTGGCTCGCGACAGGCAATAAGATGGGCCTTTGAGATATCATCTGTTTTGTTATGATCTAAAGCAAAGAAAGTCTCATTCTCCCACTTCCTGCCACTTTTCAACTTCAAGGTCAACTATTCTCTGTCAGCCTCGTGAAACACACACATGCAAGTTATATAAGCTCAGCCTTGAGACACGTTTTATTCTTACTTTCACAGTGAACGTAAGAGATTGGACCAAATGGGGAAAAGGAGAGAAACACTGACGCACGATTGCAGCTCCCTTCTCATTCAAAACGATCCCATATGCAATCTAGGGCTCTTTTCCCCTTCACAGCCAGCCTGTACACAGGATACCAGCCCCATTTCTCATTCAGGGCACAGCTGGGCTCCACCCCCTCCTGACACCTGGGACTCAGCTGCCCCCATGTGGCCATGCTCAGTCACTCATTAAAACTCTCAGACTCTTCAGTGTCTGGATGTTTCATCCTTGTCTCACCCTATTTCACATCATTCAGGGTGGTGTTCCTCTCCCCAAAGGGAAACACACCCGAGATCTGGATTTACTTTGAATCCCCATCAGATGCCGCAGGAGGAGTGAATGGGGCAGTCACGGGGCTCACACTGTTCAACAGTTTCCTGGTGCAATAATATGGTGATTGGTCTGAAGTCTCTGAATAGCCCATCAGAGACAGAAACGTACCTGTGTCGCTCCCCAGCTCCCGTCGCAGCGTCTCTAGAGGAAGGAGAGGATGGGAGAGGTGAGAATTCAGGCCCTGGCATTCATGGGGTTGTTCCTAGCGGTTATTAAGGTAACTGCGGTTAACTATGAGATGGTGACACAGACCACTGCAGACAGAGGGTACTCCCATGGGGAAGGGTGACTCGCTGAGCTGGGCTGGGAAATGGAGCTCAGGGTCAGTGACATCGCTAGATCCCCGACTCCTCCCCAGGGCGAGCCAATCTAGCTAGAGGAGATGCCACCCCAGACTCCAATTCACCTTTGAATCCCAGCAGCACCTCTTGCAGGACGGCCCTTTTCAGAGAGAAATCGCAGAGTCTCTTCTCCAGCACCACAAACTCTGGCTCTGGCTTCTGAAACTTCCCGGCCTCCCTGCTAAGGAAAGCAGGAGGGGTGAGAAATGGGCCCCAGCCCCAGAAGCCCCCAAACTCCAGGAAACCTCGATCTGAGCTTTGTAGCCTAAGATGATCACAGTTCTGGTGAGTCACCTGCCTTCAGCCCTGTGCTCTCCATGGGCCCAGAGAGACAGGACATGAGGAGGAATGGAGACAGGTTGGGAGCTTCCTCTGGGACACTCTCCTTGTCTGGGGAGCTGAGGCACCTCCCACACTGGGTTATTGCGGTAACAAGGGGCACTGGGATTATAGGGAAAGGGAGGAGACATGGACTAAAGAGTGGGCGTCTCTCATGCTCACTGAGGCCCCAGAGGCCAGGTCTTCAGCAGGGAATGAGCCTGGGCCCTTTAATGCCAAGAGCCCTAAGCCCTTCAACAGAAGCAGTAACCCTGGGGTGTCCAACTTAAATGGTGACGATGGCCGTATTCCACTTCCTGTTACGGCCAGTGGGCCAGGGCATCAGTCTAGGACTCTGTACACTGCTCCATTCATGGCAGGACACCCACTGCTCTCCGCGGGACACCCACGTACCAAGGTCAAGGCGAGAGTCTGCCCTTTGTATAGGAAATACACTTTTGAGTTACTACTATTTGTTAAGTCCTTTATTGTCACAATCAGTATCACTCAGTGGGAACATAGCCCCCTCCCACACCCGCTAGGGCTCCTGCATTTCTACTCTTTATTTCCCTTCCTTTCTCTATTTCTCTCATTCGCCCTCTGTTCTGTCCTTCCTACAGAAACTCCCTGTTCCCACCCCTCAAAGGCTTCGCTCCCACCCCCTCCCCATTCCACCTGCTAGAGCGATCAGCCGTGGAATATTGAATGTTGACATTAAAGTAGCATCATTTCAGCTGACACACCAATGAGATTAATGGAGGACGGGGGAGTTCACAGCCGTCTGAGTCCCGGCTTCAGGCCGTTGCTAAATCAGACAGACAACAGCGTCTCCGTTTGCATTTGGGAGGGTTTGTTTGCAACCATGAAGATTAGAAACTTACTATAAAATTGAAAGCGGAGTTTCTGCACAGTGTGAATATGTGATGTGGCCACATAAATATGCCAGACAGGCAGGGTCTGGCCCATATGTCTGACAGCGCTGGTGTGACCTCATTAACTGTCAGATAGTCACAGACTCTATCCCCTGGGGAGGCAGCCACCAGGGGAGATGTGATCACAGGCACTAATACGGCAGGGGCAGGGGGAAGCTCCATCTTTAGTGCAGTTCCCAAGCATAACTGAGCACGAGGGGGAGTGAAAGGAGCCAGGGACTTACCTGCTCCCAGTGCTTCCAGCACCCTGAGAGGGAGAGAAAGGAGATGCAGTCAGGTGGGGTGTCCAAGGCTGGGGAGACCTCCCGCTCTGCAGGGCAGGCACCATTGGAGGCTTGGGTGTTTGGAGAATTTCAGACACTCAAATTCATGTCCAGAGAGCAGCTGCCGCCCCCCCAGGGATCCCTGCTGGGACGTCGTCATCAGGGAAAGTTTCTGCCCATGCACTTTACAAAGAAGAAAATATGCATCTGCCTGGAAAGTGAAATTCCCACTAGTGCTGAGAGTCCGGCAAGCAACCTACCCCTTAAACCCAGTCACCTGGGGTGATGTGGGGCTTTAGGCTCAGGAGGACCTCGGCGTGGCGGGGAGGAGATGTCACACTCAAGCCCAAATGCAGTTAGACATATACAAGGCATTTACTGTGTGATCTTGGTCACAGCTATACCCCCCACTCCCCCCGTGCCTCACTTTCCCCATTGTAAAATAGGGACCTTGCCCCGACCCCCCTTTGTAAAGTGCTTTGGGGTCTAGGGCTAAGACACTCCTATAGAAACATTGCATATTATCATTGTAATAACATGGCCTGACCTGCAGGGATTGGCTCAGTGGCTGCTGCCCCTTCTCTCCTCCTCTCTCACTGAGCACAGAAATCTCCCCGGAAAGTTTGCAGAGGCCCTCATCCCTTCTCTGGACAATGGCTATCTCTAGCTCTTCCAACTGGGACAGCAGCCGCTGCTCCTGCTCCTCCAGAAACTCCTGCAACTCCTTCCACTCCCAGACGATCTTCTGCCTCTCGACTTCCGTCTGTTTCTGCAATCACAGGGAAAGGGCAGATCAGTCACAAGGGAGAACCATACATGTGCCTCCTGCAGATGGAGGAGTTATTTACCAGAACACAGGATCTCCTGCAGTGGGTGATGGGAAGTTCATTTAGGTCAGGAAGGGTGGAGGGATCAGGGCAGGGGTGAGCTGTACATCACTAACAGAAGAGACTTTTCTCCCCAAAACCTCATCAAATTGCCCTGGGCCAAACTCTCCATCTCTGCAGCCCACGTTTCATCTCCTTCCTCCCCATCTCCCCTAACCGCTATAAAGGAACCCCGGTCACTGTAACATCCAGACAGCCCGCGGGCAGGGTTACTGGGTTAACACACAGACTGACCCTCTCCTGCACAGCAGCCTCTTGTACCCTAAGGACAACACATTACCCACCTGTCTGACATGCTCCCTGGGTTCCAATGGGGATGGTTTCCTGGCAGGACGGGCCCTGCATTCACCATGTCACTCAGGGCACTGTGATCCCAGGCAAACCTGAGGGGCAGGGGGCACCTACCAGCAGCTCCTCACTTTGCCGCTCCTCCTCGTCTTTGTCTACTTCTCTCGCTTTTCGCAGAGGGGCCAGACACTCTTCTGGTGCCTCCTGGGAGAAGCAGGGGAGAGGGTTACAAACTGCTACAAATGGCCTCACAACTGCTAGACTTCAAAGCCCAGCCTGCCCTGAAGATGCCCAAGCAGAGTCCCTGGGATGCACTTTCTCCAGGGCTAGTTCAACCACAGCAAGGACCGTCCAAGAGGGGCTGGTGAAAAGGGGAGCAGGTTAGCGAGAAAACGCAGGACCCCTTGGTGAACATCCCTAACAATGAACTTCAGACATTCCCCCCACTTCCCCAGCTGCCACCCCCAACCCTGCCCAAGAGCTGGATCTAAACATGGACCCCCCCCCGCCTCAACCAAATATCCCCTAATCCCCAGCTCTGACCCCTCCCCCCCCTGACACGGTCCAAACACCCCCAGCCCCGGCTCTGACCCCCAGATACACCCACCCCCAGCCCCTCGCTCCCGGGGCCCAGCCGGGGCTCCGAGCTCTGCAGCCGAGCTGGGCTCCGGGCCCCTCCTGCAGCTCCCGGCCCAGCCGCTCCCGGGCCCCATCGCACCAGCCCTGCAGCAGGGGCTGCTCCGCTCCGGCCCGCCCCGCCCGGGACACTCGCCCCCCGGAGCCCCGGGCAGCCCCTCTCCGGCCGCGGGGAGCTCGGGGACCCCGGCAGGGGGCGAACCAGGCAGCCGGGCCCGGCCCCTCCCGGCAGGAGCGTGTCCGCCCCACGCGTGTCTCCGCCCCACGGCCTCCCTCTGCCCCCCCGGGCCCTGCCCGCTCCGCGCTGCCCCCGGGCCCACCGCGCTGCCCCGCCGGCTGCAGGGCGGGAGCAGCCTCCGCGCTGGGCTGCCGGCCCCGGCCATGGCTCCGCCGCAAACACAAAGGGGACAGGAAGGGGCGGCTCCTACCCGGGCCTGGCCCTGCCCCCGGCGGGCCCCTCGCAGGGTGTTTGTGACTCTCGGTGACTGGAGCTGCTGTGGCCGAGAAACCTCCCCAGCTCAGCCCCCCGCCGTGCCAGGGAGCCGGGGCGCTGCCCTGGGCCCGTTCGCTCCGCCCGGCACCTGCTCCCAGCGCCCAGCCGCTGTGCCGGGGCTAATGGCCCTGGCGCTCCCGTCTAACCCCGAGATTCCGTATCAACCCCGTGTCGAGTCCCCCTTTCTCCCGCTCGCTGACCTCTCGGGGTCTCCACAAATCCCCCCGTTTCCTCGCTGATGCTCAGTTTTCAGCTAGCCTCACATTTGGGATATTTTCCCACCCATTTTATCTGCAGGAAATTGTCCTCGTTTGGCTGGGAAATGGTTGCCTGGAGTCAGCCCCCAAACGGGAAAGGGGTTAGTGGGCGAAGCTTGGGAGAGCCCTGAGACAGGGCCGCCTCGGCTGGGTGGGTCCTGGGATATTAGAGAGACAAGGGAGTAGGGTGACCAGATGTCCCGATTTTATAGGGACAGTCCCGATTTTTGGGTCTTTTTCTTATATAGGCTCCTATTCCCCCCCCCCCCACCCCCTGTCCTGATTTTTCACACTTGCTGTCTGGTCACCCTACAAGGGGGGGAAGGTGATATTGGACCAGCTTGTCTCTTTCACCAGCAGACGTTGGTCCAATAAAAGAAATGACCTCACTCACCTGGTTCGGTGGGCAGCTGCCTCTGCAGTGGGCATGGGGTGCTCATTCCCTGCCACCAACAGGGCCTGGAAGGGACACAGGAGGGGGCTGCTCAGTGTGGAACTGGGTCCTTGCTGTCTGGTGTCTGAGAATCACCATACTGATGTCAGGGGCGGCTCCAGGCACCAGCGCAGCAAGCGCGTGCCTGGGGTGGCAAGCCGTGGGGGGCAGCGTGTCGGTCGCTCTGAGGGCGGCAGTCAGGCGGCCTTCAGCGGCGTACCTGCAGGAGGTCTGCCGGTCCCGCGGTTTCGGCGGCAATTCGGCGGCAAATACGCCGAAGCCGCGGAACTGGCAGATCACCCGCAGAAACGCCGCCGAAGCTGTGTGACCGCGGACCGCCTGCAGGCATGCCGCCGAAGCCCGCCTGACTGCCGTGCTTGGGGCGGCAAAAAACATAGAGCTGCCCCTGACTACTGTATTAACCCCACATGTTCCCATCACTGATTTCACCAGAAGTATCTCCAAACCCAGTGACAAACCGTCTCCATGAGGGGTTACTTCATCCAGTGCTGAGATGTAGCCACCTCTGGGATGGGTCCATGGTGACCGTTATTTGTCAGCATCAGGGCATAGAAATTGTTTCTATTTTGGTTCCACCATTATCCTGTTAAAGAAGCATCACCCAGGGCTCCCTACACCTGTGTGAATGCTACCTGACAGCATTCGCTGCTTGGCGGGTACTGGGAGGACTGAGCATGCTCAGTAGCATCTGCTGAAGCCAGTGCCCTCGCTCTGCCCTCACTTGGGATTAAAATCTGCTGCCTGCTGTTCACAGGGGCTAAAAGGGAATCAAAGGGGGCAAATCAGAGGGGGGATGTGCAGGGGGCAGAAACTGACTGTGCAGGGGGATCAAACAGCTGGTGGCAGGGGAAGGAGCGGGGCTGAGGTGCAAAATCAGGAACAAGGGGTAGGAGCCAGGATTAAGAACTGGGTTGAGGAGGCAAAGCCCCAGCACAGGGAGGGTAACAATTACCCCGAAGGGGTGAGCCACCTGCAGTGTTTGCAGAAATAGGGTGGGGGCAGAGAGGCTTTTTTATTTCCCCTCTCACAGAACAGGACAGCTCAGCTTCCCAGGGCTGTGTCCTTAAAGGCACAGGGCATCCCAATGCCTAGACAGGCAGCTCCTCTCTAGCTGATATAATCTACTGAGGTGCTGCAGGAGACTTGATTCGATGAAATATTCTACATACATCTCCAAAAACTGTGTCACACATTTTGAGTATGTGAAAGAATCCCTTATCAGTTTATTTGTCTGCAGAAAGTCTCCTAGCAGTTCCGATATTTGCCTTACGTATCTGCTGCTGCCACTCCTTCAATTGCACTCCCTTCCTTGTCATCCATTTTAAATGTACGTTTTGCTCCTTCTTGTTTACTTTAAAAAAAATTATTACTCATTACTTTTAGCATTTCATCATTGACCTTTGCCAGGCCGCCTGGGGGGGGGGGCAAGTAGGGCAATTTGTCCCAGGCCACGGGCCCTGCAGGGGCCCCCACGAGAATGTCGGAGGCTCCCCCCCGCCTCCGCCTTCGCCTTCCCCCATCCCCCGGCACCTCAGCGTGCCACGTCCAAGAGCAGCCCTGGACAGCGCTGCAGCCATATGGCCTGAGCTCCTCCCGCTCAGAGCCGCGTGGTAAGGGGGCGGGGCTCCGAGCTCCGGGCTGAGCGGCAGGAGCTCAGGTCCCGTGGAGCCAGGCCGCTGCAGCGCTGTCCAGGGCCGCTCCTGGACACAGCACGCTGAGGCTCCAGGAGAGGGGGGAGGCGGGAGTAAGCAGCATGGTAAGCCCCTCTGAGCCAGACACCCCCCTTACCCCACCCCCCCGACAGCCCTGACCCCCCGCCCCGAGCCCCACCCCCCCTGACCCCGCCCCCCCCGCCCCCTCCCCCCCACACCCCTGACCCCCAGCTCTGAGCACAGCCCCTGTGAGCCAGGCACCCCCCGACCCAGAGCCCAGCTCCCTACCCAGCCCTGGGCAACAGCAGCGCCACCCCCAGGCAGCGACAGCCCATTGGCACCAGCCATCACCATCACCCAGCAACAGCCCATTATGTAATTGCAAATGTATACATACCATTAAAGCATTTAATGTTTTTAAATAATGTATTTTGTGTATTTTCAAATTATTAAAAAATAATTTTTAAATGTATTTCACTGGTTATTTTTTACATTTCCAAATACATGTTACTAGAGTATTGCAACTTTTTTTTATGGAAGGGGCCCCCAAAATTGCTTTGCCCCAGGCCCCCTGAATCCTCTGGGCGGCCCTGGACCTTTGTTAACATAGTGCAGCTGGATCTCCTTGTGCTATTTAATTTATATTTTAATAGCAAATAATCACTGAAAATATTTCTAAGTAACTAGTTGCTAGTAGCTTTAGCAATGCCATCTGTGTTTCTAGCATAGCATTTCCTATGACTTCTAATTTGGAATTTTTAATTCTAAATTTTTATTTTTATAGTGGCTGCCCCACTCCATGAGAAAAAGGGCTGGAACAGGCCAGAGAGACTGCTCAGACCAGCAGCCAATCAGCAAAGGCCTGTGGAGAGCCAATCAGGGCAAAGAAAGAGGCAGACAATCAGGGCCGGGCTGGGCCCTATATAAAGGCTGCCTAGCAAAGGAGAGGGCAGTCTCTCCCTGACTAGCAAGGGAGGAGGATTGGCTCCTGAGGGAAGGTGGCAGCACCTTGGACAGAGCAGTGCTGGGCAGGCTGGGGGAGCAGAGGAGAGCTCTGGCCCATTACCTGCCAGGCTGTGGCCGCTGACTAGAAGGGCTGAGAAGGTGCAAGGGGCCAAAGGGGAAGTGGCCCAGGGAAGATAGATGGACAAGAGGGGAGAGAAGGAGGGCAAAGAGAGGCTGCTGCTAGAGGCTCCCTGGGTTGGGACCCAGAGTAGTGGGTGGGCCTGGCTCTTCCTCCCTTGCACTACACTTGGCCATGGAGGAGTGTGGCTGAGAGTGACTGCAACTTGCCCCTGAGGTGAGAGGCTAGACTTTGGGGTTGTGGTTGGCCCCTGAGGCAGGTGCAAGCGGAAGGACTGCTGTTAAACCTCCCCCCCACCCCCCCCGCCCAGAAGTGGGGTGAGAATGGACTAGTAGGTGCTGGCAGCATCCACTTCAGGACACAGCCCTCTGGCAAGCAGGGAACAATGTGGGTCCCAAACCAGCAGAGCAGACAATGGGCAAGACACCATGTGCAGAGGGTGCTCCATGGCTCATGAGCTAATTCCCGGAGCAACTAGCAGGAGGTGCCAGCAGTGATGAGTCCTGACCCCATTATAAACCCAAGTTTATGGGAGTAAGGGTGAGAGTTGGGAGTGCAGGTGGTGTTCTCTTTGATCCTTCTGCTCAAGGATAGGAGCCCAAGCAGAGACAGATGCATCCTGGAGGTGAATGCCTGGCTGCGAGGATGGTTTCACCAGGAGGGCTTTGGCTTCCTTGACCATGGGATGCTGTTCCAGGAAGAAGGACTGCTAAGCAGAGATGGGGCCCACCTAATTGAGGAAGGGGAAGAGCATATTTGGATACAGACTAGCTAACCTTGTGAGAAGGTTTAAACTAGGTTCAAAAGGGCAGATGACCAAACCCACAGGTAAGTCAAAAACATGGAGACCTGGGAGAAGGGTCAGAATTTGGGGGGAGCATGGGCTGTTATAGCAGGGATAAAGAAGAGACCAGAAGGAACTTGGGGGGGGGGTGGGTCAAATCTGTATCTTAGATGTCTGTATTTTAATGTGAGAATAAGCAAGAAGAACTTGAAATGGTAGTAAATAAACACAACTATGACATACTTTGCATCACAGAGACTTGGTGGGATAATACGCATGACTGGAATATTGGTATAGAAGGGTACAGCTTTCTCAGGAAGGCCAGGCAGGGAAAAAAGGGAGGAGGTGTTGCCTTGCATATCCAAATGTATACTCTTGGACTGAGGTTGAGATGGAAATAGGAGACAGACTTCTTAAAAGTCTCTTGGTAAGGATAAAAGGGGTAAAAAAGGGTGGGGATCTACATGGTAGGGTCTACTACAGACCACCTAAGAAGAGGTGGATGAAGCTTTTTTTAAACAACTAACAAAATCATCCAAAGCACAGGACTTGGTGGTGATGGGGGGGGACTTCAACTACTCTGACATCTGAGAAAATAACGCAGCAGGACACAGATTATCCAACAAGTTCATGGAATGTATTGGACACCATTTTTTTTAT